GCTTTGACAGAGAGTTAAGAAAAATAAAGACAAGAGTACTACTCTGTTATTTATTTGTAATTGTTTTACATTAAGACATGCATGACACACATATACATTCCTGCTTTACATTATTTCCCTGATTGACAGGTGACGGTAATTCGCCAAGAAAAAGTACAGATGTGCCTCCAAAAGGCTGCAAAGAAGACATTTTTTTGGTTTAGAGTCCGAGTCACAGCAACCCAACATCTAGAAACTATTGGCAACTGAGGCCAAACGTTCCACTTAACTACACCGTAAAGACTACAGTCACCAGCCAACCAGCAGGTGAGTCCAGCACTCGAATGAAAGGGAGAAAACTCTGACAGGAGTCTGTATTAGTCATTCAAAAAGAAAAAATGGAAAATGTAATGCTGTGGATTAACAAGCCCTTTTAGAGTTACATAGATAAAACAAAGTAACATTTGATCGCTTATTTCTTTACTTCATTCCAGTGTTTTGGAATGATCAGATGAGATAAAGATGATGAATGAAAAAAGCCTCTGTGTGTGCCCTCCTGACTTCAGTATAGTTAGCCTGTGTTTCCCAAGTACTTTCTCTTTTCTTGCACTGGTTCGTTTAAGCTGAACGGCCAAGGAAAAGAGTGATTTCTGCCTGCTGTCATTTCCACTTGCTGAATTGACAGTGATGGTTCGGTGAGGAACCACATTGGAACATACATTTTCTGTTTAGAAGAAAACCTTTTAAGGAATGATTGGAGGAAATTGGTATTTTTTAGTAACACAGTTCACTATTTGTGTCTGTTAGTAAATCTTTACTTTGCCAGTTTCAGCTGTTAAGGAAAAGCTTATCCCTGATTTTGGGAGCACTCTAAATATCTATTTGTGTGCACCACCAACAGTTCTACCAGAGACTATTTTCATATTCATAATCCTTGACTGTGTCTTAAATATTTAATACGTTTCCTGTAGAAAAAGGCCAGGCACATGAATCATTACCTACACTTACAGTACATACCTGGTACAAGGTAATTACAGCCATGAGTAACATGCTAACCTTTAACCAAAAAAATCTGCTGATGTAGTGAAATGATTAAGCCACTGGGGCTGCAATGACTCGACTCTAGATTTCTCAAACTTAATGTGCTCCTATGGGAAACAGGCACAAACACAATGCACATATTTTAAGAGACGAACAACAGAGAATCATAGACAAAGGGGTACTGACAGTGACAGAGAGACAGAGTAAGAGGAAACTGATTACAGTAAGTACCACCCCAACCATTATAGAAAATACTTGAAGATAATAATGGAGCCAGAGACACACACACACACACACGCACACATTTAGACAAAAGGGAGGTACCCGTACACTGTCCCATACGAGGGAGGACGGAAAAGCCCGCCTGGCCCCCAGACGCCCACGCTCCCCGGCTCCTTCATCCATCCAGTCTAGTCAGCCTGACAAACTAATGGAGACTAATCAACTGTCAGGGCGAACACGGCGCGCACTACATCTCCCGGCTTCCAGTACCATCCCCCCTCCTCCCCCTTCTCACCCACAGCCCCCTCCCACCGCCACCACCAAATTCCACCCCACACCCCACCACCATCATTGCTGCTATAACTGTCATGAGCAGAAATAACAGTGATGACTATATATAGCAACCCCACTCCTAGAGCGCACACACAAACACACACAGGATTGTCCCAGAGCTCATTAATTCCCCATTTGCTCACCCTAATGACCTCTATTTTATATGTATCCTTAATCTAATCCTAACTCTACATCTGATCTTAAATTTACCTTGACCCTAACCCCGATGCTAATGTCTGTCGGCCAAGCTGCAAAATATGTGTTGAGGACATTACCCTCTTCTTTTTAAATCAATTTATTTGACAATGTCCTGCTGAGAAGGACATGCTTGCAGGCAGTCCGTACTTTGATTATAATCAGTGTAAGCACAATATTTCTGATTATTGCAACTGTTATTTAAACAGTAGGTTATAATTGGCTAATACTAATAGTGTTGGATAACTCTTTAAATATGACTTTATTTTGTTTCTCTTTCTTTGTTTTGGTTCTGAATGCAAGCGGCAAAATCTCATGGGAGTTAACTACTGTAGAATCAGAGCTGTGTGTGTGTGAAAAATTAGTGCTATGCCCAGCAGTGGAAGACAAAGAGTGTTCTTCATTAGCGGGTTAGCAGAATGACTTTTCTATCTTTAGTTCATTAGTATCAATCACTTAGTATCAAACATCTAATCCACCCATTTGTATGCAAGTGAACAAACTGACATTAAGCAGAACCAGTGGCGAGCTGTCAGGGCCCTCTAGGCCCTCTGTGAGGGCCTAAGATATTCTACAAAAATAATATTTAAAAACATTAAAACAATGAATATTTTTTTTAATATATTTTTTTAGTTATATTTTTCATTAGTTTTACCAAAATAACTTGATTTAATTGTATTTAAAATAACATTTCCAAAGAAATAAATCCTTCGAATCTGCCTATTCAGTTTCTGTTGGAATATGAAGGGTTAAATGAAAGAAGCTCGTCTCTGCGAGTGTGAAGAGAGGAGCTGTTGGACGTCCAGGCGGTCCAGCTAGAATTCACAGAGGGCCCAGCTATAGTAACTGAACCACAGCCCTAGAGATACTAATACTAGAGATACTTATCTCTCTAGGGCTCTGAACTGAACGAGAGAGTAATGTCAAATGACAGTACAATTGACCAATCATATCTTCCCTCTAAATGGGTGGGTGTTATTATCGCGGACTTTATGACAAGTTCAGCACGCTGTGAAACTTTTCTTGTTTCCATAGCAACAACAACAACTTCCTGGCAACAACAACAACTTCCTGTCAACAGCGTTAACTCGCCTTCAAAATAAAAGCATGCCAAATTACACTTAAGACATACAACTGCAACGAAAGTAATAAACACAATGCAATATCTTTTTCAATTTCAAAGAACACAAATAGGGTTATTTACAGGTGTTGTTTTGTGTGGTAGAGGGTCGCTTTCATTGATGCGTTTTGCACCCCGGGCCTTTGTTTTGATATTCCGCTGAAGTATACGCTGTGACGTAATAACTCCAGGGAAGGGGGGGGGGGAAGGGGGGGGGGGGGGGGGGGGGGGGGGGTGGTCAGAGGGCCTAGGTATAAAAGTCATGGCTCGCCACTGAGCAGAACATGTTATAGTAGATATATCAGCCATGCCCATTTGCTCCAATTTACTTGTCAGTATGAACATTGTTTCAGACTTTCCCAAAACTGTGTAGCCTTTTTTTTGTTTACATATTTGAAACAAGCAGTGAACTCAACATTTACCTTTTTACAAGACTTTTATGAAAGAGTTTTTTATTTACAATTCCTGCTCAGCCTGTGTGTGTCTTGCTTGTGATCATGATAACCATTTTAAACATTACTGCAGAATAATTCACTGTAGGAATGCTACTATTGACCCCATTAACATTATTTTACATCATCATTTGGTACAATATTGATATCGAAACCTTATTCTAAAAAGAAAATAGACTATATTCGCTTAAGTCTGGAATAACATTTTGAAAAAGTTGCCAACATCAGTTTTTAACCTAATGTAATCTAACCACTTATCCAAATAACAAAACAACAGCCCCCCAACACACACGTGTTTCCTTCTCAATGTTATCTTGAGAAGGAAACTGATTCAATTCCATATTGTCATGCGAAGCACAGACAACCTTAGATTATTTTAGCCATATTTTTTATAGTTAATGTAACTTGTTTATATGTTTTCAGCTCAACAGGCTGGTCAGTAGTTCCTCAATTGAAATGCATGGAAACAAGCTAAAACTTATTTTAAGCATCAAACCTGTAACCATGAAGAAACAGTCTCCCTACCCAGCAGGCCACCCTTAAATGAGTCTGCCTCTCCTGCTAGTTGGTTATATTTGGTGCTATACATAATTTATGGCCAGCATCAGGAAGTTTGGCTTGGATTAAGCTGCTCATTTCTATATAATTAGCTCAACGTAAAGGCATGACTGACTAATTGTGAGAAAATAAATTACAACAGTGTCTAATATACAGGGAGGCACTAATTAACACTCCATCATGACCATACAATCCTTGTGAACATTTCAGCCTGTGTGCTGTTGTTCCATATACATGAGTGATAGATTTCCTCTGCATCTGCTTAATGTTTTTATACTGGGGACACACAGATATAATGGCATTTTCAGGAGGGAGTACAGAGATTAATCGCCCCGGAGGTAGCATTATCCAGTAAAATACTCCACACAGCACAGAAAGTTGTAGATCACAGTGCAGATCAGCCCCTTGCAGAACTTTTGAGGCATGCTGCCTTCTTATCAGGCTGAGGTATGATGTAGCCAAATGCCAGAAGCCTTGAGCTATACGTATAATTTCGGAACAAGCCATCATTTAAATTTGTATGACTTCCCATCACAAAATGGCCTTAACATATCTGTAAAATGACGCTGTGGGGATCAATGATCAGTAGCTACTATCGCTGTGCCGAGATTTCAGACTTATAGTGCTGAACTCGGTGGGTTTTACAAACATGGGCTCCTGAAAAATGCATTCTTATACAACAAAGATGCCTCCCCAAGTACTTTTCAGGGGATATGTAATTTCTCCTGGTTAGACTATATTCACAGGGTTGGATAGTATGTGCATGGAGGGAGTTGGGTTTCATGGGTACAAAAAAAACAGAACATTCAACCAAGAAAGTTTGCTGTTTGTGTTCTGTGTAAGACCAAAATAAAAATTGCCATTTTAAAATGTTAACAATCCAGAAAAACACTTCCTTTGATACGTCATTGAAATTGCGGTTTAAGTTTCTTTGGAGTCGGGGTTAGGTTATACTTTATGTCTAATAGAAATTCAATGGTTTAGAAGGATTCATGCTGAAACACATGAATATATAAATTAGCTGCATTTCCTGTCAAAAACCAGAGGTCACAGATTCTTCAGTTGTCATTTTAAGCGATGAATAAAAATCCACGTCTTACCGTCTTTACCAATGAGGAAGTCCAGGTAGCGGTAGGTGTAGGCCACGCCCACCTTAGTCTCCACCTGAGGTCTCTTCAGTGTGGAGTAAATCTTCCCCGGACTGTTCTCCTCTGACATTGGCTTCATCTTTCGCAGCCCGCAGCCCATGGCTCCACAGTGTGTGTGTGTCTCTGCACGGACCCTGCCAACCAGACACAAAAGACTGAGACAGTGTTTCATTGTCACTTGTGTGTGTGTGTGTGTGTGTGTGTGTGTGGGCTAGCATTACTATACTTGTGGGGACCTAAATCTGTTAACATAGTCACGTGTGGGGACTCGCCTCCCTTATGGGGACAAAATGGAGGTCCCCATGAGGGGAATCATTAATTTTAGGGTGAAGACTTGGTTAGGTTTATGGTTAGGGTAAGGTTAAGGGTTAGGCATGTGTTGGTTATAGTTAAGGTTAGGATAAGTCTCCAGGTATGTAAGTCAATGTAATGTCCCCTGAAGTGATGTATACATGGTGTGTGTGTGTGTGTGTGTGTGTGTGGTGTGTGTGTGTGGTGTGTGTGTGTGTGTGTGTGTGTGTGTGTGTGTGTGTGTGTGTGTGTGTGTGTGTGTGTGTGTGTGTGTGTGTGTGTGTGTGTGTGTGTGTGTGTGTGTGTGTGTGTGTGTGTGTGTGCGCACATGGATTAGAGTGTCTGTTTGGTTTTACATAAATGGGAGTTAACCTGTGGAGTAAACGTAGCAATACCACAATTTACGATCCATTCCTTTAAAATGGCCTCTATGGTGGATATACAATTTCTGACATGACCAAGCAAGTGTAAATACGTTTTAGCTGTAAAAATGCTTTTTGTTTTTTCTACAATCCGAGGCAACTGAAGATATCCATTCATATCTAAATGATATGAAAATCAACAATCAGAGTATTGAAACTTGAGTCTTCAAAGTAAACAACACATCTGCATTTAACTAGTATAGACTGATAACATGGAATATGTACGAGCATAATAATCATACTTTATATAATGAATAATCATCCTCATGCAAAACCATAACCACTGTTGGTTTCCATTTGTATCAATAATAACATGTCCAAAAATTAATGAAAGCCAATCATTGGAAGGGAATGTTATATTACATTATCATTTAGCTGACATTCTTATCCAAAATATCTTGCATACACTTCCGTAGACATGTTTACGGCAGCAATTGGGGTTAAATAAGAGAAAAAGTAGGCTGCTTTTTCCAACGGATCATATGTATTTTTTCTAAAATTTTGTTTTTTGTCAAAGTGACATGTAACTAAATATGTCAATTGGATGTAGCAAAGTGAAGGAAAATAATTAAATAATAGAAAATGTAAATTAAGTACATTTATCTCTACTAGAGACTACGCTTATTTATGTTCCTCCACTGGGTATGACTGTTTGAGGGCACGATTAACCTCTTTTGGAAAAAATGTACACACACACACACACACACACACACACACACACACACACACACACACACACACACACACACACACACACACACACACACACACACACACACACACACTAATATCCATGATTCCTCAGGGACTTAGAAGGAAAACCAATAAAGAAGAACATACTGGATGAGCTTATTTTAATTAATAAATAAACACAACTAAATGAGCTTGATTTTTCACAGGTTCTCTCTTTCTCGTTCCCAGGGAGACTAAATTAGCAAAGACAACCGTGGAGGAAGAGGAGGCTTTAAAGAGCCATGGACGCCTTTCACCCCAAATGGTTTGTGACAGCATCACTGCCCCTCTCTAGCAACTGCATCTGGGAGCAGGTGACATCCTATTGTGTGCCACTGATTAAACTCAAGCATGGATGGGTGGATGGGTGGATGGGTGGATGGATAGATGGCGGGGGTGCCCTCCCCTCCCCCTTCCACCTCAACTGATGAGGAACACTCTCTATTATGCTCGCTACTAATTACAGAACGTCGCTCGGCATTGGCTAAAAACTATGAATCCGAGCCGGCCTTCGCTTCAGAGACAGGACAGGAAGTGAGGAGAGGCGGGGGGGGGAGGTGGGGGACGAAATAGGAAACGAGCAGACGGGGGCTCTGTTAATGAGGTGAACGGCAAGAATGGAAAAGGTGAGAATCAATCAAGGGAGAGAGAGGAAATAGGGGTGGCCGTGTTGAAGATTGTACGGTGGAAAAAAAGGATGAGGGGGGGGGCAGTGGGTAATGCATGGCAAGTAGAGTCTGGAGAAAAAAAACGGAGCGCGCAATTAGAGTCAGTTGAATAGAAAAGGGGTGATCAACACACGCCGAGGGAGAAAGGAGAGAGAAAGATGAGGCAGGAGATTTATTACGGTTGTCATGAAAGCCGGTGTTTCCAGTGGCACTTACATGAATGTCTTTGTTGGGCTTTATGAATCTCAATGTGAATTACAATCATATCTCTACAGGCCTCAGAACAGCTCCCTGAGATGGACCATGGGGCTGATGGATTTGTGATACCAGAACACACTGTGAGTCCTGTGTACGGCAAGGCTGTCTGAAACTTCTGAAGCCTGCTAAACGGTTTCTACATGTCTGAGATGTGCTGACGGGTTGTGTCTTTGCCTCTTTGCATGTGCCGAGCATGACTGATGTCTTACTTGAGCAAAAAAAGTCAAATGCAATCTGCAGAAGCTGGCATATTCAAAGTCCCTAAAAGCTTTTCAGTACCCCCCTGCAGTTCATCGCGCAGCATCACAAATGGCTCTACCATCAAAGAAAACAGGGCAAGAAAAAAGCTTGAAGTCTTGGTTTCCCACTGTTGCCTACAGTCTATTTGAGCTTTTATCATTCCTCCCCTTACCCTGGAGAGAGTAGAAACAACACAAGGGGAGACGAGGCTCTGTCATGTAATCTGCAAGAGCTAGAGAGGAGGTAGTCAGAACAATAGCATTCAGGGGCTACGAGGGAGGGGGTATGGAAAGAAAAAAAACTGGATGAGGAAAAAAATGGTTGGGTATTTGCATAGCTCCTTGAGACCAGGAAGGAGGAGATGTGAGGCGAAGGCGAACCGGAGTATTTTTAGACCTAAACTGACAGAGGAAATGTGAGGTGTTTATGATTTTTTCAGTCACTGTTTCTTGCCTCAGCACCTCTCCTTTGAGGAAGGAGCTCTGGGCAGCGGAAGCCCCCACAACGCCCTGCCTCACCTCCTCTACACCCTTTTCTTTTGGAGATTGACAGGCAGGGAGTCAGGGATCATTGACAGGGTAGACAGACTCTGGGTAGCTCCAGAAAAAAACAAAAACAGGAAGAGAACCATTGATTTCCCTTCTGCTGAATTAGCAACGATCTCCCTAACGTTTTGTTCTATCTTTTGTCTCTAGCTAATGGTATTTTGAGTTTTTTATTTGATAAGAGGTTTTATTCGATAGGATTCTCTCCTTTTGAGCCGAGATTGACGTTCAAATGCTTTGTTGTAGCCGGGATGCACTTAGCTTTGGCCTTTGCAACCAAAACATCCCACAGCACTTTGTTTTTTGCTGAATGTGAACAGCAACAGAAGGGAGGGGCTTGTCTTTCCATTCCATATGTTCTATCTGTCAGTCAACAACGATTTGTCCGTTCAAGGATCAGATTTCTTTGCTGTTTGATCACTGAGGTCAATGTCTGTTAGCTTTTCAGGAAATGTAACACATCAAAGCTTGAACAATGGATTTTTGACCAATCACGGGCAGAAAAGCGCTTCTAAAAGCTGCAAATCACAAATACAGGCCATATTTTGACCTTAAAAAGTTGCTTTTGCAAACTTGTTATGTCATTTACATCTCTAAAGGACATTGAACAACATTTCAAATAATCTGGAGCTGTTTTGCTCGCGACGCCACCTAACAAATGTGAACCTGACTTTACCTTTTAGCTCTGTTTTGGTCTCCATCAGCTCCTGAGGGACTTGGTTTTGTCTAGGTAAGTTAGCGTGTAGTGGATTTATCTGAGCTTTTTTACTGGAAACAGTCCCCAGCTGCTGCCAAAAACGACTTAATGAAAGCGGTGTTAATGTTTTAGGCCCCTAGTTTCGGCTCACAGTGGGGGTTTTTAAGCCATGTAGTTCTACAGACTACACTACAATCGATAACCTTCACGTCATATAGTCATTTGATTGAGAAAATGTACCATTTATGAAGAAGATCATTTGCAAAACCCCACCCGATGTTTGCACATACAGACATTACAGCATCAACAAAAAGGAGCAACTGCACTGAATGATTGTAATGCTGTCTGACTGAGATCTCCCCCATATTACAAGGCCATGTTAAAAGGCTGTGATAGCAACATTGCTGAGATCAAACCAAGCATCATGGGAAGCTTCAGAGTGGATTAATGGAGGAGGACATTAATTAGGACACTGTGTTCTTGTGTTCTTCTCCATGTAGTCTCCCTTTTAAGCCTGTTCTCTTCCTCTCTCACGCTTTATCTCCCTCGTCCTCTTTTTCTGACTTTTGATCTTTTTAATCTGACATGTAAAGTGGTGTGCTAGCAAGGCTGCACTTGGTGGTGGATACTGCTGGTTCAATATCACTCTATAGTTTATTTTGAGGAATAAAGTCGATGGCTCTCAAAGCTACGTTTAATTTAGACTGAAGGGACCTTCTTTGTTCCATCAGGCTTTTTTATAAACCAAGTGAGAACTGTTTAAAAACGTCAAATGGACTTCATCAGCTATCACTATATGGACCTTTCACTTCACTGAACCTTTTATTCTTCAACCAGCTCACCCAAAAATAATTGATCATGTATGTCATATAATATATTATGTATAAAAAGTACAGATATATGGATGCTACGTTTCACTAACTTTTCATTTGATAGCTACTAAGTATGACAAGGATACACGCAAAACACACAGACAAGTATTTTTACTTTATTGTCTATTGGGGGCAATATCTGCACTGGTGATACACATAGCCATCAACATGCTTATCAACCTCATCACGTGTAGCTTACAGATCAACAAATGCTCACATGAGTTGTTTCCTGTAATAAGCAAAAAACACCTATTTTGAGGAAAGGTCACTGGAGACACAGCCGACATAAACAGTAGCGTGATGACTGTTCCAAATATCCTTTGCTAACACTCAGAAATATTGGAAATCCCCCACTGTTCCCTTTGTCCTCCCCTCAGTCCTTACCAACTTGAATCCTCGTCTAACAGGA